AAAAAAAAAAAAAAAAATGAAATGCTTAGAGAATTTGTTATAAAGTTTAGAAAATTTATCATATTGTAAAAAAAAAAAAAATTTTGTTATAAAGTGTAAAATGTATTGTAAGAAAAAAAAAATCTTACTTACAGGATAAAGGAAGGATAAAGGAAAAGCAAAGTATTTATACTTTTTTTTTTGAGGTATGAGTAGTTTTTCCAACGAAATTAATTAGTTATGACTCATTAGCTTATGAGTCATAACTAATATTATAACTAAATATTTCCCATAGTGTCTCGCGTAATATAATTTTACCTTTCCATAATATCAAAATCATATTATCTTAAATATCATAAAAAGTTTCAAAATATTTTTTTTAAGGTTTATTCATTTATATTTAGTTCTTGAAGAGGTGTATATTAGTAAAATTCAGGTCTAATATTGATTAGAAAAAAAAGTATGCGACAATAACGAATTTTGAAGTTACATAAGTTAGTGATAGGTTATAGCCAAAGTATAAAAAATCGTGACATAATCAAATATGATTATTACTAATTGAGTTAAAAAATTTCCAGCTCATTGTGCACATGATTTGACGGCTTGTATCGTGTGACGTAACATACAGTATTATAGCTATTAATTATTGTTTTACTGATAAATTTCAACTGATTATACAATAAAGGGAATTTTCATCCTCAGATGATAAAATACATTACTCTTAAAATTTCATTGTGGTATCATCGAAAAAGATTTTATTATAGCAGACTCATAATAGTAAATATATTACCGCAAATTTTTTATATATTGTATTACATTTTGCTTAATCTTATTATCAAGCTTCAACTAGTTATTCTACGATAAATTAATTTAACTCTCAAATGCTTTCCAAAATTTTTTGTCCAAACGAAATGCATCGTCATTCTATCATACGTAGGAGAAATCTGATTAACGTTCAATACGAAAAATCACATAACAAATCGGATATTTTATTAATTTTTATTTAATTGAGCGGTCATTAAGACGCTGACATTTGAAACGTTAAAGTTGATAAACCTATTAAAATCTAATGCACTAAAATCTAATTTAACTACAAATTCTTTATATTTTTTTTTATACAGAAATTAAGCAAAAAAATCAACGTTGTTGAAATATTTTTGATAATCACTAGATCTGAGTAATAAATATAAATCTATATTACTCATTTGATATAATATATTACTAACAAAAATTACTCATGCAAGTAATTATTCAATTATTCATGAATATACAGTATAATATAAATAATATAAATATGTCCCCAATACCTTAGTTTTAACGCACTCTTTTTTTTAGGCGTCTCTCTGGAGTTTGCTTTCTCTTCTCTTAGGTCTTCAATTAAATAATCTTGAACATGGTATCTTCACCCGATAGGACTTCTTTTCTTTAAGTCTTCTTTTTATTAGGTCTTCTCTTTGGTTCATTTTTTACATCTTCTATTAGGTATGTAGGTGGGAGTGTGGGTTGTGTCTCTTTCCCTTTTCCCATCATTTTTCGTTTCCCCTTTCCATTCCCCTTCGTTTTCCCCTTCCCCTTCGTTTCCCTTTCCCTTCGTTTTCTCCTTTTCCTTCGTTTTCCCCCTTTTCTTCATCCTTTCGTTTCCCTTCGTTTCACCTTTCCCCTTTCCTTCGTTTCCCTTCGTGTTTCCTTTCCCTTCCCCTTCGTTTTCCCTTCCCTTCGTTTTCCCTTTCCCTTCGTTTTCCCCTTTCCCTTCGTTTTCCCATCCCTTCGTTTCCCTTCGTTTCACCTTTCACCTTTCCATTCGTTTCTCCTTTTCCCTTCGTTTCCCATTCCCCTTCGTTTCCCTTTGTTTCACCTTTCCCCTTTCCCTTCGTTAAATTATTAAATTGTTAATTTAATTTTTATAATGCTTTATTAATCATATATTTCATTTACATCTTAGTAATTAATTGGAAATGATTATGAGAATTACTTAATATTTATTTTATTATACATTTATATACAGTATTCATCAAATTAAGAATATATGGATAAAAGTTATTAATAATTTGTTGAAATATGCTTCCATCAACATACAACATCATCTTTAAAGACATCGATTCTATTTTAAAGGAACGCTTAATTGTCACTTCAGTGAGCACAAATCAAATTAAACAGACGCTATTATACCCAGCAAACATTAATTACAATGGATATATCTAATATTTATTATACTTATTTAATACCATATATAACTGACAAAAATATCCGGATCTAATTTAATTTACTAAATTTAAAACATTGATTTAGACCAGGTCCCATCAATATTAGAAGAATTTAAATTTAAATTTGGTTTATAATTTGTTAAAAATATTAATATGTTGAGACGGTATTTTTATGAGGGTACGCTTGAAATAATATTTGTATATACTGTATAACCTTATTATTTTTTTTTGCCACCAAGTTATTAAATTCTTGAATTATATCCCTATAAAAAATATGTATACGGAAAGGATACGTTTTGTATACATTTTATGTACGTTTCTATAGATTCCGTATACAAATTCCGTATATTTAATAAGTAATTCATTTTTGAACATTTTTTTAAAAAACTAATGTATAAGAAATG